TAGGCTCTCTCTGAGTGACGACAACTAACAGCCAACTTGAACAGACACTGAGCCTTTTCATATATCCATTTTTCTTGTTTTGAAGAGGGGAGGTCCTGATGGTGGTCAAGTAATATATCCAGTGCTTCACTACTTTTTCTAGTTCTTTGGGTTGTTGGCTATTACGAAAGACTTCCAAAATACCTCTCCAAGCAAGAGTATTATGAGGTTCTATTTGAGTAGCCCTTTCAAAACACTATATTTATATAAATAAATGGATATATCAAGATAGTCTTATGAAACAAGAACCTACCTCTGCAGCAACCACTTTATCGTTCAAAGCATTACAAGCAAAGCCTTTGAGAACGAGTGTTTGGTAAACATCAGGTTGAAGTTGAAGACATTGCTCCAACTCATCTCTTGCCTTTTCATATTCACCACTATCGATAAGCTTTCGTGCTTGTTTCAACTGTGCTTTGAGAGATGATGAATCGCTACTCATAAGGAATTTCCGATTATTTTTTACGAGATAAATTGCGTTGTTTTTCTGCCTTTTCTACTAATTTTTGTTCTACTTTGAGACCCTTTCGTCTACGAACTTGATCCACTAACTTCCTTGCTAGATTATTACGACTAGCAGTAGTATCTTCTAAACTCAATTCTTCCAACTCTTCTTCCGTACTAGGCATCCAAAAAGGATCCTTATCTATCACTTCCCAGTGACTGGGGATATTTGTTTGAGAAAACTTGATACATCTCTCTTTCTTTTGTTTTGGATTTCCTATACTTACCTAAATATCATTTGTGGACTAGCAGCTCCAGAAGTTTCTTTTCGCAATATATCTACAAACTCAAAGCTTTCTACTACAGGCAAATAAGCAGTTACTTTGAAAAATGCAATTCCTTCTTTCATATCTGCATTGACTACTTTTCCTCGACGTTTGGATAATAAACCATACATAGGTCCCAATGCATCTGGATAGACTTGAATATCACAATGAAATATAGGTTCCATCAAACGTGGTCCAGCACATAGAAAGGCTACTCGAAAGACATCCTTGGAAGATGAAATAACCTATATAATTATTTTATACATACATAAGTTCATTCCTATCCAATAAATTACTTACCTGTCCTGAAAGGGGACCATAAGGATCCACTTGGATGGAATGAACAAGTTCCCAATCAACTGTGATTTGTTCTATAGAGAAACAAACACCATACATAGGTTCCTCACATAATGGTCCTGAACTAGTGGCAACTTGAAAACCTGAAACTATACTATTGTGAAGTTCAATAGCTACTCGGGTTTCCCATGTATCCTCTATAGGGTCCGCTTCCTTCTCAGCCATCCAATCAAAGGAAGAATCTTGAAAATCCAATAAATAATATTGTAGTGCAGTGGCACCATCTGGAAGTTTTCGTCGATCTAAAGAGAAACAACTCTCAACACTATTCCTAGGAGGAGGAGGAGGAGGACCTAATAAGATATTAGGACCCATTCTACGAGGTCCCAATGACCAGGCTCGAGATAGCACTGTTCTCCAACCATTCGCAACTTCTTCTCCTTCTAAAACAGAAATCTCTTCAATGGCTTGTTGAACAAGTCTCTTGGCATCTTTCATAGATGTTTCGTCATGTTTGTGAACTCTTTGAGTATTCTTACGAACACTTTCTTGAAACCAGTCTGAGACGGAAGAACTCGTCAAAAACAAACTTCGAATAGCATCACTAGATCGCTCTAAAGCTTCCGCAAGTGGTTTCGCAAGTGGAAACGCACATACTCGAAGCCTTACAACTCCATTGCTAGTAGTCTCTTCTACTATTTTACAACTATGCTTTGGATACCATCGACTGTGTCTTTCATCATTAGCTATTAAAACAGATGCACTCTCTTCTTCCACTAGAGATGATAATACATTTTCTGCAGGTGCAACTCCAGAAACAGTCTCTTTAAAGTAAACCAAAGGAGGAGATACTTCAATTTCTGTTAAAGCAAAACTTTCTTTCAAATCTTTTAAACATCTAAAAAATGAATTGGATTGGATAATGACAGACAGATACGAGAGACAATGTAAAGTACATACCTCTGTAAATGTAACTCACCAGCACCTGCCAAAATAAGCTCGCCCGTTTCCATAATATATGATTCTACCGAAGGATCTGACTGACTCAACAACCTTAAGCCTCGTTTCAGTTGGGATAACTCTTCTGGATATTTGGGCTCGATAGCAACTCGAACAACTGGAGCAGGTGGACTTTTCATCGGACAAAATGGAATGCACTTTCCAGGAGGTAAAGATGATACCGTTGCTGTTTTGAATATAACATTCTCCAAGCCATATATACCAAATACATTACCTGCTGAAACTTTAGGAATTTCCATAAAGTCTCGTCCCATTAATAGAAACAGTTTGGATATCTCTGCTTTCTCTACACTGGATGTTTGCTCCACCCATTTTAGATCATATCGAGGACCATATACATACAATAGACTATTGGATTGCAGAGTTCCAGAAAAAATTCTGGCAAAAGCCAATAGAGTTTCCTTTTTAGGCTCCAAGTGACTTGTTTCTTCCATCATATTCCGTTTTTCTGTTGTTGAATGATGATCAATAATATTGGGATCCTCTGAATTCTTTGCACGATGAGCCAACTCTCGTCGATGTTCTATATTTCTTTGTAGATTTGAATTCAACGAACTTGAAGGAACACTGAACATTTTGCTAATATAAATCATGACGGGAGCATCCGAAGAATTGTCACATTCACTCACAGCTTGATATATCATATCATTTCTTTCTGGTATCCATTGTGAAGAAAATAGCTCATGGAATCTCTCTCGTTGAGAAGTTCTTGGGTCTGGTAACATTTCAACAGCCATATTCAACAAACATCGAGCAGCTGGAAGCCAACTAGACATGATGGCTTGTAAAACTGTTCTTTGTTCTCTATGTCGCAAGTCTCGGGTTGCTATAGAAAGTCCCAATTTTTCAACTATTCTTTTTCTCCTTTCTACCATCTCTTCCAATGAGATCTGCATAGCGTCAGATTCCAACAAAACTTGTTGATAAACTGTCCATATATTTTCTAAAATAAACTGTACAAACATGGGTCTAGCGTTTTGTTTTCCCAACTCGGGTTTTTTTGAAATGCGCTTTTGTTTGGAATGATAATAATAGTCACCCCATAATGTCTTTTGTAAAACTTGCTTTTTCATTCCAAACTTTTCAGCATATATTTCAGCAAAGTCTCCCAACCGAAATGCCCATCCATCGATAGCAGATGCAAAGGCAACGTTGCCACTTTCCGGTGCAAAAGAATATTCAATGGCTTCGGAATTCGTCGATTTTTCTAATATGTCGGTATCTTCCAGTTGTTTTTCAGCTTCCTGGATTCCTAAAATGACGTTGACTTGTTCCAACACTCTGGCTATGCGCTGATAGGCTTCCAACGGTGACAGCTTGAGTTCCAAGAACAACCTGTCTATCTTGTTGAGCACCAAAACTGGACGAATTCCTGTCTCTGCAGCTAATTGCAAAACAGTGTGTGTTTGTGAACAGACACCTTCTACAACATCAACGACGACAATAGCTCCATCCACCATCGATAGAGCACAAAGAACTTCTCCACTAAAGTCAACGTGACCAGGAGAATCTACCAAGTTGATTAAATAATATTCAACTTTTGAGTCTTCTCTACGATAAGGATGACACAAAGATATAGCAGAGGACTTCATAGTGATTCCTCGCAGTTGTTCATCTTCCCTGGAATCCAAGTATCTCATTTTCCCAACAAGTCGTTGAGATATGACACCGTTACAAGAGATGAGAGAGTCTGTAAGTGCTGTCTTTCCATGGTCTACGTGAGCTAAAAAACAAAAGTTTCTTATTCTTTCAACTTGAGACTGAAGACTGGATAACGAAGGTGGTTGCCGATGTGCGTCCGAAAACGACATTTCTCATCTTCCAAATGAATATATGGCCTTTGTCATTCATTATTTTTTTGGGAAGAAAAACAGTTGTCTATTTTTTTGTAAAAGTTAAATGACAATAGCTGCGAAGATGTAAAGAAGCTTTTCCTTGTTCAAAACTGCATTTCATCACTTTTTATGATTCCCATAAAGTCTACATGTTGTGTAAAATAGTCAAAGGAAGCAAATTGAATGATTCTTATATTTACTGTTCTATTTTTGGAGCCCACAAAGATATATTGAATTTGTACATTCAGCTGATCAAATAACGATGACAAACTTTGAATAAACAACATTCTGCAAATTCATTTTCCAAAGAGTAACTAGTCTCTATAAAATCAATAACAATGAGAAATGGAAACATCTTGTGTTAAGAATGTAGTCTTGAGTATAAATACTTTTGTTGTTCTGTAGCTTACAACAGTCATTCTTCTTGTTGGTTTCAACTACTCTATATCTTTCCAAGGTCAGTCATAATTGTTGTAGTCACACATTCTTTTCTACAAAGAACAAAACCAAACAGGGACCTTACCAGTTTTGTGAAAAAGAGACTGGAATATCCTTTGGAAGATAGTAGTAGTAGTACACTGGAGAATCGAGGAATGGACTGGAAACAATATCTAACGCAGTTTGAATATACTCGATTATATGAACCACAAAAAACACTATCCTCCTCCTCATTTCCTTTGAAACTTCCAACCCAAAATCCCACAAATGCTATTCTTCTTTATTATGGTTTGATACAACTTTTCTATCCACTTTATGGACATTCATCTTCTTCATCTCGTACAATAGTTGCTNATAGAGAACCTCCAAAAACAATGTATTCATTGGAATCTATTTTTGGCAAGTAATTATTCTCAACCATCTCCTTGTAACGTTGAAAATGGGATGACTTGCAGTCTCTTTGCAATACTACGACCACATAAATAGCCAGTTGTCCATGCTGCTTGTACTAGAGAGGAAAAAAATATTCAGAATATTCCAACTATCAACAGATTTCATACTCACAATTGAAACCTCCTGTCNATCCATCGATATCTNAAACCTCTCCAGCAAAGTATAGTTGAGGCACACATTTACTTTCCATACTATCAAAATGAACTTGTTTTCTACATACTCCACCACAAGTTNCAAATTCCTCTTTAAAGATACCTTTTCCTTGAATCTCGAAAAGACTTGATTTTNAAGCATTTGACAAAGCATCAAGTTGAGCTTTGGAAAGGTCTTTCCATAAATATGCTTCATTATTAAGCGTTTGAACAACAATATTTCGCCACAAGTTTTTAGAAAGTCTTCCGTCTTTATCTCTAAATGGACAAACAGTAGTGACTTGTTTTGTTTTCCAATAAAGCTTCTTTTCCATGAGAATAGAATTGACTTGTTCGACATGGATATCAGGTAACCAATCAATCGATAATTGTGCTTCATAATGAACAGCAGCAAGTTCTCGAGCATTCCAAGCAGATAATCTCNACACAGCAGGACCCGATAAACCCCAATGAGTGATCNACAAAGGTCCACGTTGAATAAAGCTACTTTTTGGTAACGATGATGAACGACGACCATCGATTCCCATTNTCTTCNAACCAACATCTTGCACCGTTGTTCCTGATAATCCTTGTAAACGAACATCATCGATACAAAACTACATGGAGAGATACTTTTCAACCCCATATCGTACAAAAAAAATTTCATTGCTTACAGTAAATAAACTTGGACAAGGTGAGTGAATGGTATGTCCCCAAGAAGAAAGCCAACGATAAGTCGCTCTATGGGAACCCGTACTAACCAAAAGATATTGACTTGATAACAATTCCTTTCCATGAACAAGAAAAAGTCCATTCTCATTTCTTTCTNTATTCGCTNTTGGATATTGTACACGAATTTCCACGTTGTATAAAAGCAATGCTCGTTGAATACATTGGATAATAGTTTGACTATCGTTGGAAACTGGAAATACTCGTCCGTCCTTTTCCGTTTTCNACTTCNCACCGTTTTGTTTCNACCTTGGCAAGTTATATGGAGTCATATATAGGAGACTCTATGAATAATGGTTCACTTACCATTCTTTCNTTTGCAAGGACCCAAAACGAGTTNGTGGACCTNTCNATTCCTTCCCACCTCTTGGATAGTGTTGAGCAAACACTTTAGGATCCCATTCCCCATTAGTAACGTTGCATCTACCACCGCCACTGATTCGAACTTTTTCAAGAATTCGAGGAGCTCTTTCTNCTNTCNATATACGAGGCACTGTTGGATACGTTGCTTCACATAACTGAACAGCAGCAAAACAACCAGCAGGTCCACCACCAACGATAATCNAGTCATATCGTTGTATTNTTGCATATATACGACTACAACGTGGACAACAAC